AAATTATGTTTGAGGTATTCAGTGGGAATAAAATACAACCCTGATTTTATGACAGCAGTCACTTTTAGAAGTGTGAATTAATGTTTCCATAGAAATGGGACTTAATATGGCACTTTTAAAAGGACTAATGTATAGTAGAAATCCATTTATGTGTATTTCTCTCTAGAAAAAGTGGTTTAATTTGCACATTCAGGAAAATGTGGGAAGTTAATGGTACAATTTAGAATTGAACCTAGAGTCAGACCCATGTATTATTGGTATATATATAGTAATACATTCCAGGCTTTTAACACCTGATCTATATTATTAACTAGTTAGCTTCTTGAAGCTTATTTGCACATTGATCCTGAATCTGAGGATTGGAAGAGGTTTGATGGTCATTCACAGATAATCACTCTTGTCTCCTTTTACTTTAATGAATGGAGTTGTCTACTTTGAGCATGAGTTGATTACTGTAATCTTACAGGTGTTTGCATATAATTTCTAAACCTGAAGAGGACGTGAAGAAAGGAACAGAAGGCATATGTTATAAAGAATAAAAAAACCCCCAAAAAAACAAAAAAACAAAACCACGCTGGCTGTGGGAAGGTGGTTAATGTTATGCTCAGGCAACATTTTCTTGTTAAATTCACTCTTTTGCTGCATTACAAAGTGCGGTGAAGGCAACAGAACTGGAGAGTTCAAATAAATCTGAAGTTCAAAATCAAGTTTCTTGAAACTTTAGAAGTACTAGTTTGTGTACATAATACCAAATTTAAAACATAAATACAGACTTTGATGTTCCAATACTGTGTTGGTTTGAATAGGAAAAATAAAATTGTAGACTAATTGAATTGTTGTTAAAGCAATCTGGGTTTTTTCCAGTTCACACTTCACTGTCTAGAATCCGGTGAAATATTCCAAGTTGTTAAGACTTAAGTTTTCTGGTTTTCTTTCTATTATCATTCATCTTTGCAAGGCAGAGAGTTCTCACTGCTGTGGCCTTAAGCTACGTCTAACTCGGATACAGCATGTGAAAATCTATTGTAAATAAGAATGTTTTTAAGAACCTGAAGGAATAAACTGGAAGGCTATTGAGCCCTTAATTTTGAGATGCTATAGTACGTATTGTTTCCTACCACCAGTTAACAAAAGACTTCTATGGTGCCCGAGACTTGAGGAATGTTTATTCATTTTAGTTCTTCCCCTCTTCGGGCTTCTCATTCTAAGCAGCTCCTCAGGGAAGCAGCAACTGAATTCTGAACAAAACTGAAGCGCAATTTAAGTGGGCTTAAGCATTCTTAATGGTAAAGTTCTGTGACCCTTCTTGCTCTCCTCAGATGCAGCAAAATCAATTAAATATCACCACTGAAATGAACACCTTCCATAGACTCCAGAAAGTATATTTTCTCAGTCTCATTTCTTTTCTGTGAAAGGCCTGTCAAGCTGTAGGCATTTTTCATATCTTTTCAATGGAATTGCATTCATCAATGATGCAAGATCAAGAAATCAATATATCAGTGTACAGCTGGGCTAACTATTGTAAATTATGCATTAAGTTGTACCAATATTCATTTTAACAAAGAGAAAAACATATTTCTGAACAAAAAATTAATTTTGTCTTTTACCAAGGTTATAACTTTGCATGTTTATTGACAAATCAGGCCATGATAAAAGCCTGAAAAGACTTTATCTGCAACTATCAGAAGAAGAAAGGTAATATTTTGCTCAGTCTGCTTTAATTTGTTGGCTAATTTCCACAGTGAAAATGGTTTGAACATTTTATTACCTGTGTCTTGGTTTGGGAACTTTAATGTTTTTTATAGTGTGTGACAACGAATCTACAGAATTACTTTTATATTAGTACATTTAGTACGGATGGATCTGATGCCATATATTCCATTGAGTTGGGGTGAGGGATCTCGGGATATTTGCAGCTTGCACTGTAGAGACAGTTATTTTCATGGACTTTACTGGGAGTTTAATACAAATATTTAGGCTTAATGTATTTTTAAATATAGTTATCTTGACATTCGCATTTCTGTGAGGTTAGCTATTCCTAAAGTGATTTATTTATTGCTAAAAAAGATTATGAAAAGATAAGTGATAAGCTTTCTAAGTGATTGACTGAGGTAATTAATCTGAGAAATGTATTATAAGGACTTTATATAACTGTATCTGTTATTGCAAGAATTAGGGGATCACAAACTCAGCAACTGAACAACCACCTTATAGTAAATTTCTTATGTAGAAATCAAAACCTCATGCAAACTATGAGAACAAATAATATCCAGGGAATTGTCATGTGGAGCACGATCAAGGCAAGACAAGCTGCTAACTGAAACAGGTCTCAAACTCTTTAAGTGCTTTGAAAGTTGTTTAAATAACGTTTTCTGGTTTGGGTTTTTTTTTGTGGTAGAGAGATGGAGGATTTTGAACTAAAAATTAAGATTAAATACTAAAATACTTCTTTGCGCCATTGTTTTTCTTGTCTGTAAAGTGAAAAATTTACCAATTACATTTCAGCAAAATATTTTAACTTATTTTAGTCTGTTTTTTTTCTGCAAGGCAATACCCTTGATTCCCATATGCTTTTTCTTTCTGCTTTTCATATGGACGTTGCAGTCTTTTTCACATAATTTTAAACAAAATAGACTGTTATTTTAATGGAATTACTTTAATGAAAAACCACAGGATTACTCAAAAAATCCCCACAGTTCATTTTATTAATGTACTTTTAAAATTTTTTTGAAGCAGAACTTAATTAACATGTAACTAAACTAACTAAAGATGTACTGATTTTTGTTAGAGACTGCTGATGACGGTAATATCTGTCTGTAATATTTTTTCTCACTGCTGCCTGCCAACGGTATAGAAACAACTAATTCCTTCTCTGAATAAAAATGCTTAAGAGAGTATTTAACTTACTAATTAATTTATTATTTAAGAGTAAACTCTATACATTCATTAAACTTGCTTTATATAGCCATCCTATTTCAGATTCAAGGTAGGTGTCTTAGCCCGTTTCTTTTTTTTTATGTGTCTTCAATAACTGCACAAAGTCTCGTCACTAATGTTCAAGGCCTTTTTTTCTTGCCGTGGAACTGAACAGGATGACACTACTGTGAAATACTCAATGCCATTAACTCATTAGGCTCATTTATTCAGGAACATTTACTTGGTACCACTAATCTGAAAGAAGAATAGTATACAGAATGCATGAAGCTGTAGAAACAACAGGAGAGAAAGACATTTTTTTCTGTTTTCCTGGAAGTGTACTTCCTCATACAACTAAGAATGAGTAAAATGAATGAAAAGGAGCATCTTATGAAGCTGGAAACAAAGGCAGTGAAGTCTTTTAAGTAGGGTCCAAGAAAAGTGGAAAAATAACACTGCAAAAAATGGAAATAAGACAGAGGATTGCTTTGAAGAAAGAGTGGCTAGGATATTAAAGCAGAAGAGAAAACCTCTATTTAGAACGCAAATGATTTCAAGAAAGACGAAATTCTGGTGCTTAAGTTTCTAAAGTATTGGCTAAAACCAAAAATACATTTTAGTACCTTTAATATATAAGATTGTATCTTTAAAATACATATTTTAATAGTCTGTAAAAGTACCAATGGTTATATTCTGTTAGGTGTCCCGAGATTTTTGGATGTGCTTGAGCAGTTTCAGGAAGCGGAATAAATGTAAAGTATTTCCTGTTTTGGAGTCAGGAACTAGCCCCTATTAAATTATATGTATATCATCAAAAATATTCCAACTTGTTAAGGTGTTGAAATCTCATTAGAGAGATGCACATCCACCTCTTTTCATGAGGTTTCAAGTCTCGCATCAAAGAAAAGTCAACTTACCATGAATATCTGCTTGGGAATAGTTGTAGAAACTGCTCATGTGTACTTGCCAGGAGAAGATCTCTTTTCTGAGTAGCTTCTGAACAATGCAAAGCCTTTTTTTTTTTTTTTTTTTTAAGGGTAACCTACCCATCTGGCAGGCTGATTCTTGAAGGGCACTAGGTTTGGCTAACTGAGCGAGCGAAAGCCCTCTGAGAATTAACAGGATTTTGAAAGCTCGGTGAAATAGCAATACTCAATAGAATCCTTTTAGTATTAAATAAAACATGGGAATTATGTATATTCCAAGGCCTCAATATTTTCTAGAGTAACAATATACATATCTTGAAGATCAGTAATTATGTGAAAAGAAATACTAAAATAACATTTGCCATTCCGTTGATGCCAGTGAGTGCCAACAGTAAAAGATATTGTGAAAGGATCTGAAGGAAACAAATGGAATTAATTTGAAGTTTCTAAGAGGTGTCAGTGACTGAAATACGTTTCGCTTTCATTGTTTTCGAAAGAGTAAGGAGATAAAAATATACAGGAATTTTGTGCAGAAAAATAGTATGTACATCATATTTACAAGACAAAATGACATAAATAGTTCTGCAAAATCCAAGACCATCAGGCAATGCCACAGGCCAGATTCTCAAACAAGTGAAAACAAATGACTGCGGAAGGGGTGGGAAAAAAGTCATACCGCTAAATTCAGTAGAACTCAGCCAGCTTCAGTCGCACTGTTACAACATATTTCAGGTCATAAGGTGGATGTATGGTACAAATAACTAAGGAAAAGTGTTTTTTGTTTTTTCTTTTTGTTTCGTTAACCTCTATAATTTAATTTTTGAAGTCACTGCAAAGATCAACAAACAGGTTTTTGAGTAGATGACTAATCACCAATGGGTGTCAGAAACGAGGTGCAGTCAGAAAGTAAAGTTCTTCCTGCATAGAGGATTCTTTCCCTGTTTAGTTTTCTCTAGCTGACGAACTGCTGTGTCACATAGTCCCCATTATCTCTAACAGCCATCCTTGCAAGCTGACTTGCAGCTCGCACCTTCTTCCTCCACTGATGCGCCTGGGTTCAGTTCTGCAGTGGAGGTGCACCACGCAGCTTTTGAAATAACATGACCCTTTGCAAAGATCCTTGATACCTGTGAGAATTGTTGGCTTTGCCCTTTCCAGCTTCTGTCTTCTGTTGTTCTGAAAACTGCTGTGTCGTCATTGGTTCCCGATCTTTGTAATATTAGTATCAACCTCCTGCCTCCATCTCGGTGTGGGTGGAGGATCCATTGCCGTTCGTTACTCCTGTGCCGTGGCAGTGCCTCTGCCAGCCCAACGCTGACCTCTAGTGAGTACAGGGCTACGTTGCAAGTTCGACATGAAGATCAAGGCTCTTGGGAGATCAGAGGTTGGGAGAAGAGGAAAAAAAGGAAAGCTGCTAAGTGTGTACCAAGCACCTAATTCTGCCATAAGAGTCTTAGAAACCTTTGCGTTTGAACGTATAGGCTGTTCAGCTTAAATTGATCAAGTTTGTTGTTGTTGTTGCCTTGCACTCTTTCTATATTTGCTATTACCCACTCAACAACTATAATAGTTGCACAAAATATTTTTTGGTTAATTAGCATCTTTTCTCTGAACATCTTAGTGTGGTAGCATCCTTTCACTGCTTGTCTTTTAAATTATGTGGGCAGCAGGAGACTGAAGCAGTGTTTAAGGCGCTTGTTTGGGGCCACGTTAGAGCCGAGACTGCTCAGTTCTCACTTCTCAAAGTCAATCTGTGCTTGTTCCTTTCTGAAAATATAGGGATGTTTGGATAGTTGAAATTATAATGCAGACTTCTGTCCAAGGGGACATGTTTAGAGATCTTGAAATCAGTTTCACAGAAACTGATGAATATTAGTAATGAACTTTTAAGTATTAATGAACATTGAATATTAATCCTAAAATGAATTTTAGTTACAGAGAGGTTTTGTTAGAATCATAAATGTATCCATTAAGGCCAAAAATTTACATTAACTTCAAAGCAATACTGCAGGCCATTTGTAATAACTCTAGATTGCATTTTCACCAAGAAGTGACCCAGTAAATACATGCATATTGGGACTGCAAGACTTTGTTTTAATCTATCTATATTGTGAAGTGTGAAGAAATTCATAGATAAACAGAACGCACAGATGCATTTCCTTCAGCTGATGCATGCCTCGTTGTAAGGTCTTTTTTCTGAATTTCTAAGTAGCCCTAGACCACGCAGCAAGAAGAGTAAAACAAAGAGATGCCCACTATACATCAGAAGTTGTTTATTACTTTTCCTATCAAAGAAAAAAGCCTGAGGAACTTACGAACAGCCATTGTGAGAGGGCTTTGTTGTCACATGCTTTCTATTACTGTGATGGAAAACATTTTTGCAGGCTAAAATAGTTTTCTTCCTATTATTGGAAAATGTATTTTGATTCTAAACTTTGTTTAGAAAGTCCTTTGCATATATAATGCTTTATGATGTCTTTGCTGTGGCTTTGGCTATAATTTTATCTGTCTGATCTGTGTACAATGGAGAAAAGGTGGAGTGATAGCAAATGCTTCCATTAAATGACTTTATTTTTCCTCTTTGAGTGTGAATGCCAGCTGGTCACTGTATTTCTGAACAGATTGTGTAAGTCAGCAGAAAAAGGAAGACAAACTGTCCTAGAGCTGACTGTATCAAGACCATCAAAATAAAAGTGAGATACTTGTCCTGTTCTGATTAGTGCTGTGTTCAGAACAGAACGTTACATGGTCTCTTTAAATCACATCGATGGCCTGATCTGACCATCTCGGTCTCTGTAAATAACACATGCGTATAACATTAATTGGAATTTGAAATCATTAACTGAAGGAGCAAATACCTTCAGTCCCTATGTCGAACTTAACCTCCACCCATATTCCGGATTTAGTCTGGGTTCATCTAACCTACAGGCATTTTTCATGAGTGCCTTCCGTGTCAAATCATAGATATGTACTGGTCACAAATTAGAAGGGGGAAAGAGGTCTTCAAGGAAGATCATGGTTGTAAGACTATTTTTAGCTTCTAAGACAACTATTTCAGCCTCCAGTGTATTTTCTGGCTGGTGCTAACTGACCACTGAGAAAGAACCTTTGAGAATGAGCTCCATGAGTCATTCTAGCACCTGCATTAATAAGCTCATGCTCCGCAAGCAGCTGGGCACTATATAAACCTATTCAGAAAGAGTATAATGAAATGCAGCTTAGTAGTCAAAGGCTTAAGGCACTATGAATTCAAAATTCACCACGTCTTTGAGGTCTTCCACTGAAATATAGGATCATAGAATCATTAAGGTTGGAAAAGACCTCTACGATCATGAAGTCCAACCGTCAAGTCACTTACCAACCTTTTAGTTGTCAGGTGTCTTGAAACTTTTTGAAATTGCAAGCGAGAGTGTTTTAGTGACAGACATTGAGGCATGGTCTCTTCCAGCATTACGTAATCTCTTAGGAATATTTTCATGATTTTGGAGTGGGCTGTTACCTGCTGGTTGAGAGAATGTCAAGAACCAAGAGGCAAGAACTGTGCCATAAGCCTTCATAGCATATCGTAATGGCTGTGCTCTGCGCACAGTATTTTTTGTGACTCCAGTTTGCAGACATCTAATTTTCTCTCCATTATTCTGAGCATAGGTGTGTAACAAGGGACCATGGATTGCAACAGACAGCACAGGCATATATGCCCTTCAGAAGTCAGCATTTCAGCAACTTTAGTCTGTTTTGTATGTAGCTCTTAGGTACCAAAACCTATCTTCAAATGTAATGAAGGCATTTAGGCACACTGGCAGCCAGTAGAACTTAGGTTAAGTAACCATGTAATTTTTAAAGTGGTCTTAGTCTTCTAGTTTGCCAAGACACTTGGTAATATTACCTGTAATATTACCATTTTGTACATGCTATTTTTAAAATTGCTTGACTTGGTATCTCTAAGCTGTGTTGTATTTTGTGCGTTTGCGTCATATGAACTTTCTAATAGCTTTTAAATTTTTAAAAATTTTATTTCAGGTATATGATAAGGTCAATTTAAACTAAGTTAAAATGTAAATATAGTAGGTCAAGTCCTTAACTGTCTAATTGGCATACTTCGATGAGAATCAGTGGCCCTTTGCCAACATACACTGTAGGGGGATATCTGGGCAAGGTTAGTGAACTGATCTTGATTGCCCCTTTAATCCTCTTATCTTTCCATTTACAAATTTAATTTGCTAAAGCTATTTATATTTTATATGTTTATATAACAGCATTTGTCAAAAACCCACTATAAGTAGTCTAGCTACTTTTATCACCTTTGTTTCCAATATAAACCCTAATTCAATCTCTGAAGAACTGCCTTCTAGAAATGCTAGTTTATGGAAGCATATAAATACAAATCTTGGCAAGTCCTTTTGATTTTTGTACTGCTCACCAGGCTATAAGGTAACTGAAGAAAGTCTGCAGTCACCTAGTTGGAAAAAACTTTCAGAACACCACCACAGGTGTAATAGTATACTGTGATCGCTTTGTAAGAGTGACCTCAAAAATGCTTTTTTATTTAAGGCTCATTTTGGTAGGAGAATCAATCCCTTTGATCGCGTTTTTACTGTTCTTCACTCCTAAACGTATATAGAAGTGTATCATGAATATGTGTGAAACGGGCATAAACACTAACATCTCTACTTTCTAGATGATTACAGGTTTACGTTTTTGTCTGTGTACAAAGATGATGCAAGTACTGGATATCTTAACCAGCAAGGCTCCTGCTCTTACAAAAAAAAAACCACTCTGAAAACAACCACTCTCCCCCCAACCAACCAAACAAACAAAAAGTGATAGAAAGGGAAGAAAATGAATAAAATGAATAGCAAATTTGACATTTTTATTCTCTTTTAATAGACTATTTTCAGGAAATCTATAATGATGGCTGAACAGCAGCATTGTACACAGTTTAAATCCTCCTAAAGATGAAGGTTAGCATGGGATTCTGAGATAAGACAGATTAAATATTTTGAACATAAAATGCAGTTGATAAATCTATAAATGGAAACCTTTTCTATGTAGTATAATGCTAACACATGACATTTTGCTGTCTGTATAGCCTTTAGCTTTTCTGTCAATATTGTTGTGCTGCATTGATTTCAGAAAAGGCATTAAGTACTGTCAGAATGAAAGACATGTTTTAATAATAAAGCAATTATTATCCCCTTATGATGTAGGAATATAATAATCTTTTAATGTATTTAATCAAACACTATGCTTCAAGAACTGTGTTGCGAAAACTATGATCTACAATTAAGAATGGAGGAAAATTTTGTGTCAGGAATGTAAACTAAGCACTACAACAAACATTTGTTGCAAAGAGGCACAGATATCGAGTAAAGTGACTGAAGGGTCCGTGTATTAGCATCAACCTAAAGTTTTATATTTGTTTTATTTTTAAGAGGAAAGCAAACTGAACTTTTAGATTTATGAAAAACTAATTAGTAGCGGCAGAAACTGCATACTAGTGATTGCATAAGCATTATTTAAGAGACATTCTGTTCAACAATCTCACAGGACTTAAAAAGGAACTTGTATAATTTCCAGATACAAGGCATGATCTCTGAGTAGTTAAACTATTTTCAAGATTCAGTCCTTCTGCTTTCCTTTTTTATCTTTGCATCCAATGTGTAATTTATATACTGGTTTGTAGAAGGATGTTAAATTGTTTTTTAAGTTGTAGGCCCAGCTTTGCTTAAGCAAATGTTTGTGACTCCAACTTTTAATATCCAGAAGTATAGAACTGTTGATGCTTGCAACTGTGTATTATGCAGCTTGTCTGATCCGTTTTAGAAGTTTTATTAAAAACATAATTAACAGCAAGAATAAAATTGTTTCTTGCAATTTTAGATGCCTTTTAATAAATCTTACATCCATGTTGCTGACACCTCAGTCAAACTATGCAAATATAGTTATACAAGATATTATTTAAGGGACTGATTGTGACCATTAGAGGAGTCAGAAGTTTTGATAGCCTTTTATTTGTACAGAGCAAACTTCAACTTTGCTGTAAAACTAACATCACGGTCTTTTGTGTTCATTAAGCTATCATGAAGGAACAGAATTCTTCTTGAAAATAAAGGTTCAGACTCTGCAGTAACATGAATCCTGTGTGTTGCAGAACAGCCAGAGCAATTTCTGCCTGTTGTTTCCAGCCCAGTTTAACAAAAGGGAAGAAGAGTAAGGCATTACATTTAAAATACCCACATTTTGTATTGTTTTTCAGTATGGAAGAAAATACTTAGCAAATGATCAAGCAGATTTTAGACTAATATGCCAAAAGCAAAGATAAATTCACAACAGAACTCTCTCTCTTGCTGCTATCAATGATAATTGTGTAAAAAGCAGCAGAAG